TGTCTTTAAGTTTGGGTAAGGGGTTTATTTTACTTCTGTCATTGCAACTCTGTTGGCCCACGTTTGGTTTTATTTGGTTCTTAGCAACACCCACCAGCCCTGTTCTCTTTGTAGTATTATCAGCCTTTTTTCATTTTTTAAATTATTGGTTATTATTATTGACTTAAATAAACAATAAATGACTTCACCAAACCAACAACAGCTGGTTTTAAGTTTTCCCTTTTACCCTAAAGGAGCAGGGATGGAATAAAAGTACTAAAGGTTCTTGCTTTTGTTTATTTTTTGTTTAGTTGTTTGGTGTCAGGTTATGGCATAAAATGTGAGCTGCAAGTAACAGTTATTGATTATTTTGTCTGTGAAACCTCTGGAAACTGAGGATCACCTCAGTTTCCCAAATCCTAAGTTGGTTTCTTGTGATATGATTTGACTGAGCAACAGATCAGAACCCAAAATATTACCTGCTTCATAATAGAAGGGACACAGAAAGGCTGCAAATTCTTAACTTGCGATTTTTTTTGCTTAAAAACTACTTGAACAATTATCAAGCCCTGCTATCAAAGTACAACCAGATGTTGTACAACGAGTGGTCTGGAAAATGGTTCAACATCAAACTTTTCCTGAAGTTTTTTGAAGTGCCATTTATGATGCAGAACCACTGCTGGGTGGAGTTAACACCCTTTTATTTTCATGAGAATAGAAGGGAGCTGTACGTCTTTTTTTATTTGATAATATTTCACCACTCATCTTGAACCTAAAAGTTAAAATGTCAATGTAATTGTCTTTCTAGTTTTATGTACTTTTTCTTTTTATCTCTTTATTTATAGTCATAGTTTTAACATGAGTTTCTGTTTTGCCGTTAAAATTTGTGTAGAGCTGTTATGAGATTTAACTGTTCATTAAATACTCAAGGTTATCTCCTCGGACGTTTAGGAACGAACAACGCTGCTGCTGCCATTAAAGTAGATTGGAAAGAAATGTTCCGGCCCTTGTTTCTCCCCGGTCCATTTTACGACAAGAACCCACCGGAAGTGATCGTTCGTTCGTGTTGTGTCGAAGTGTGTGAGCGGTCCTCTACTTTACTTCACAGCTTCTGCCTTCTCTCTTGAACTCATTACATTTTAAGTAAGTATCTTTTTGTTTTTGGAAAATGTGTATGTCCACTATTAAAGCAACAGTTAGCCGTAAATGCAGTTTAAGTTCCGGCTCGACGAGACGTTTAACCCGCGAACCGCTAATCAGCTAGCTAACCGGTAGCATCTTTAGCAAGCGCATAACAAAAGCGCGAGGAAGCTGTTGACTCCAAGGAGCTTTTTACTTTAATTTCAACGTTGTAATAAGAAAGACAACGTTTCGGGCACAGACTAAATAATTTAGTTTTCACAGGATAAGACAGAGATAAAATGGAGAAGACAAAGTGAGCCACCTTTAGGGCGAACAAGCTACTATAGAACTATCTCCGTGTGCCATCTGTGTACCTGTGCATGAAGTCTGCATCATCTCATTTGTTCTATTTCCCCTCCCGCACTCTATAGCTTACAGAACTCCCATCTCGGCCAGAATGACGGACCGATACAACATCCACAGTCAGCTGGAGCATCTTCAGTCCAAGTACATCGGCACAGGACACGCTGACACCAGCAAATGGGAATGGCTGGTCAACCAGCACCGTGACTCTTACTGCTCCTACATGGGACACTTCGACCTGCTCAACTACTTCTCCGTCTCTGAAAACGAGAGCAAAGCGCGTGTCCGCTTCAACCTGATGGAGAAGATGCTTCAGCCATGCGGACCACCGGCAGACAAACCAGATGATGCCTGATGATGAACAGGAGGGATGTTTTTTTGTTTTTCTTCTTGGATATTTTCTGCTAAAAATTCCTGACCATACAATTCAAACTGCTCCTACATTCTTCCATGATTCAGCCAACTATGACTGTTTTGTCCACTTAAACAACAGAAGATTCCTGGAAGCAGATCTTTTTTGCTTGCCTGTGGACCAGTGAAACACACTTTGTTGCCGAGTACAGCTTCTGGAAAAGTTCCCTACAACAAGGAGGGAACGAAGGACTTCAAGATCTAAACATTCACTCAGAAAAACAGTAGAAAACATGTACAAAGTGGTGCACTGTCCCGTTTGTATTAACTGATGGAGATGTATTCTTGATTGAAAGTTCGACTTTGATTTAATTAAAACGTCTTTTTCTATTTGGACATGGAGTTTGTGGTTCAGATTAGTCAGCAGGCATCTGCTCAATCAGTTATGTGCTACTGTTTATAATTTAGTATTGTGTCGAAACATAATTTGCACCCAGACTGTGTACAGATGGGTCATCAATTAAAGTAAAACCAACAACAAGTGATTTAGCTCAGTGTCAGGCCACTTTAAAGAGAGCTTCGGTCACCGTGCCTTGGTGTAGAGGTGCCAAGTCTGCGATGCCAAAGAAAGTGTAAGCATCACTCACCTAAACTATATTCCCTCATTCAGTGGAGAGCATGGTGTGTGTCAGTGCCAGATGTCTAGCAGCTGTTCGGTCGGGTCCGGTTGGTCTCACAAGCCTCATCATCATCATCCACTGACCTTAAATCAGTGAACGACCTCTCATGGAGCTCTTTGCATTTTTAACTCTAATTTAAGTTTTGCACCTGTCTAAAGATTTATCAGTACCATCTACGAAACAATATTTGGTGAACTCTTAGTAACCTGTAGCAGTCAGTCTGTTAAATTGAGCATGTAAATATTGGACTGGAGTTATTAATGGTACTTAAGGTGTCTCAGCTTGAATGTCAGAGAAAAGTAGAATAAAAGACAAAGGACTGAAAATGACATAAGAGCATAAATGTATATTAAAAAATATGAAAAGAAGAGATTCTGAGTCACCATTAAAGCTAATGGAGAATACAGGATGTAGCAAATACAGTGTGCACACAAGGAAGAAAAATGTATATTAAAACCATACAATTCAATGTAATCAGAGGAGGAGAACCTATGAGACAAAGTATGTGGACGGACATAATTTAGTTCTATAGATGTTCTCTTCAGCACATTTCATTAGAAGTTAATGGATAAAAGTCCCTGATCTCAGTTTTAATTTGAGTACGTCAAGTCCGAAAGAACTGTATGGAAGATATACACAGAAACTGGATGAGCTCAAGAGTAATTGGCCGCTCGGCTGCTACATTGAGCAGCCGTGTATCATTTCGGCATTAATTCATGCACCAAAGAGCTCCTGCGTGGCACAGAGTTAATTAAGAGTTGCCCGTCGATATGAGAGTTTTAGGGGTGAAGTGAAAGAATAATGAGGCTTGTATCAAAGATAGCTGGGGACCTAAAACAGTCGGCTACAGCAAAACTTGAAAATGCCAAACAAGCTTGTGGACCGTGTAAAATCATTTATCTGTTCACTCGACGGTTGCTCTCCAAGATTCGTTCGAGTTCATAGCTGCAACCTCAGAGGATTCAAATACCAAAAGTCAACATTTGTCAAAATGGCAAGAGGAGGCAAAAAAAAAAGGGAACAGCTCATCTGTTAAATATGGTTTTTGTGTTCTGGTTTGGGCGTGTGTCGCTGCCAAAGGAACTGGCACGCTGGTATCTGTTGATGGTTTCACCGCAGATGGAAGCAACAGGATGAACACGGGGGTACCGGAGCACTTCTGTGTGCTCAGATTCAGCTTAATGAATTAAAACTCATTGTCTGGCATTTATTCATTCAGCAGGGCGACCAAAGAGTGGCTGACAGCTGCAGTGAAGACCTGCCAGAGACAAACGGATGTCTGTGTACGCTGATGCAAACCTGCTCAGTTGTGGCCTTTGAATGGTTTGAGAGCAGTGCAGACAAAAAGGTGACGATGGTACATGCCAGTCAGTTCTACAATAAATGAGAACAGATGTAAAAGTGTACAGTCAGAACATTTGCAACATCAAAAAACCGGACAAAGAGCTGCATGTGTGCTGCTGCAGACCGCTCAACGGTGGATTTCAGCATTTGTTTGGCCTTGCAGATTCTACAATCGCCTGTCCACCTACACAGTCTCTCACACAGGAACACGTACACATTTGTCCACCCACACATCGGAGGGCATGAGGTTCGTTGTGACTTAGCCTTGACGTGCTGTATCATATTTGGGGGACGACGTTAATGGATCGTAGGTCTGCAAACGGCCGGGTCTGGAACTTCTCATCCATCTGAACATTTTTTTAATAGCGGTTAGAATTCAGGGAGCGAATTAACTTCTCAAGTGGTGGCACTGATTTAAAAAACTGTCATTAAAGCTCACAGCTCAGGCTTTTGAAAGTGATTCCAGTGTTGAATCTAAATCAGCGATTTTTCACAAGATGCGTGGGTTTAATGTACGAGATCTGGTTTTATTATGCGTGTTGCCTCGAGCTGCAGTCGACACAAGACTCTTGCTCGGACTGAAATGCGCATCAGAAAGAGCGGCGGTTGCTGACTTAAGGTGATTTTTGGAGTCACAAACGCAGACACTCGGGTGGGAGAGGATGCAATGCATGACTCATCGTTGGATTGAGAGACTTGTCAGTGGGCGCCAAGGAAGTTCTTGTGCTGTGCGTCGTGGCTGGCTGTGTGTGTGTGTGTTGGAGGCTTTCTTGGTGGGGTAAGTCCTTGCCATCTGTCCTCGCTGTGAGAACTCGGAGGGGACGGCGCTGCCAAGTCATGCACGGGAGCAGCGTGAGGTCGGTCGGTTTGCCGTCACGCACAAACATAAAACACTGGCATAAACTGCTCGGCTCGCTCCCTCTGAGCCCATAAATAGACGTCGACTCGGCGGTTTCGAGCTCCAGCAGTTGAGACCGAAACACTTTTGTTAAAGGTAATAAGGCTCACAGGTGGGTGTCATCTGATTATAGCCCCTCAACAGCAACTTTAACACCCCTATTAAGGTGAAGTACCTCTTCTGCAAAGATATATTTTTTTCTTTTACATGACAAAATAAAAGCTTTAATTGTGTTTAATCTAATGAAAAAACACCAGCAGGTAAATGAAAAGATCAGGATCTTCCTGAAAAAGTTTATCTTTAAAGCGTTTGTTGACTTGCAAACAGCAAATGAGTGAAGCAGCTTCTTCTCTGCTGTCTATTCCTCCTGAATCCTTTACAATCTCTATAAACTCCGTGTCCTGCCTGCCAGCACAATACACCATAAAAAACCTTTATGCTATAAGGTCATGACAACAATATTGAAGTCTCATTTTATACATTGTATATTGTCCGTAAAACTGTTTTGATGAAGCTCTGGAAATGAGTGTTTAGATATAAAATGAGGTAAATAAAGATACTGAATACCCTCCAGGGCCCCGAGCTGATGGATGGATCTTAATACTTCTGGAACAAGGATTCAAGGAACTTTATTTGTCATGCCAGCTCACATTCACATGTTGTAGTATGAAATTAGTAGTCAGGTCCCGGTTTTTAAGAAAAAGCCTGATAGGCTTCGTACCTGGAGCTCGAGATGCCGCTGCCCCACTGCGCACCGCCATCTTGTTGAACAACATGTCTTTGGTCTTGTCTAAGTGGAGATTTAACCTAGAAATGTCCCCATAATAAAAGAAAAGACTTCATTTCTGAGACAAAATTAAATACGCAGCACACACACGTGCAAAAATTATCATCTTGTATATTTTGACCAGATGGCTCAACTTAGTGCTTTTAGTGTAATGACCCAGAGACAGAAATGGGTTTGGTAATTGATCCTCTTCTGCAAATATCGTCCATAACACCTTTTAACAGAATAGAATAGAACTTTATTGATCCCTTTGGTGCAAACTCAAATTGTTGACATGCTGGTGTCAAACTAAAACAATGGGAGGCAACACTGAACCAAGTGTTCTTGTCAAAAAATAAAGTTATTTGTTGCCATTTGACAAACCTATTGTTGCTGTTAAATCAAAGAAATGAACCAAAAGAGGACTCAGTGTGAGAGTTTCAGCTCCTTTCCTAAAAGAATCCTATACAGTCAAACAGTAAAGCTGCTTTACAAAGGATGACTGAATGTGTGTAGATCAGTTTTATTGTTTCAGCTCAGTGCACAGTCGGTAGTTAAACAAGTACCTCCATAGGAGGTTATCACACAAGCTATACATCAAACCACAAGGAGAAGCCCGCTGGCAAACTGCTCACATTAAAGCAAAGCTGCTGAATATGCAGAGCTGAGCAGGTTGTTTTAAATTCTTTTAGTCCCCCAGTTACATCCACTGGACTAGGACCAGGTGCTGATCCAACCAGGACACAACCAGGTGTGTCGGGCAGGAAGGTGCCTCAGGAGCTGGAGCCAGTCGTGAGGATTACAAATCCCAATCTGGATACAAACAAAACACTGGGATGGATGGTTACACATTAGAGGCCTAAACTATGTATTAAGTTCAACAAACTCAGGATATCTTCCCGTTATCTGGATTCACTAAACCTAACTAGAGCAGGCTAAGTAGCCACAAGAAGCTGGTCACTTCAGTCACTTCTAAATCTAGCCTCATTCAACTGTGAAATAAAACCCAATAATCCCAAACACACCTCATATATGCCTATTATTATTATTATTATTATTTCTATACTATACAAAGACTTGTTTTATCCCAGCAATTTTGCACCTTACATAAATCTTGATTGCATGTACGTAGTTTAAATCGCACACAGTGGTTTCCTTATTTTTCTTCTATTTACTGTGTGAGCTACCGGATACCTTGAATTTCCCCTGGAATCCCATTCTAATCCTGAACAAACACAAGGAACTGAAAACTATATTACAGACTGAAAGCATCACCTTGAAGAACAAATCTGACTGACTGACAATTGACTGACTGACTGATTATTATTATTGTTGGATAAAATATATGTTATATATATATATTATTTTTTTTCTTAAGTGAGCTTTTACAATATTGAATTTCCCTTCTGGGATAAATAAAGTATTTTTCATTTCATTTTCATTTCATCACAGCTGTTCAGTTGTGTTACTGCAGCCAAAGCTATGAATGACTGTTTAAGTGCAGCATCAATTGTATATAAATTGCTTGGATGTAAGTTTCTCATTCAAGACTCTGTTCGTCTTTCATCATGCAACACGAGCTCGTGGGATAAAATAACAGACGTAGATTGTATGACATGGTTGTGTGCGTTACTTTCCCTTTGATGAAAGAATTTTCACTAAAACTCGATGCACTCCTGCGTGTAAGAATAAAATCCTCAGTGTTTTT